CCACTCGATTGTATAATTGCCATATGAAATGGTACTGAAATGTGAAAGGTAGCAGTGTCCTGAAAGAGGGTCAATTTTCGAAGTATAATTGCCTGCATCGGGTCAGACTTATTGGAGAGTGTGAAAAAATAAGCCGCAATATACGATGGAATATGTATGTCAACTAGAGAAACATCGAGTTTCACCTTAGCATATTGACAATTTATACCAAAAAATTGATCAGGACACACACAAGTATAACTGCTGTCAGGAGTAGTCACATCAGCCGGTATATATTGTCCATTATTTTGGCAAATATTAGTTGGATATGCTGATGTGAACATACATTGTGAGCCAAACTTATGTAATGGACATACGCATATTGATTCATTGTTTACTAATCCCAAATAAAATGAATCGTCTGAACACATTTGACGATTTATCGGGATAGTACATTGAATGCCTGTCCATTGAGAGTGGCATCGACAGAAATATTTTTCTTTATTTAAGTACTTTACACAAGTACCATTGTTGCAAGTAATGAAGCAATTGGACGAAGTCTGAATAATACGATTTGATAAAATCAACGAACTAGCTAGTCGATTGACAGGTAAAAAGAGAAATGTAATAGAAAAGTGCCAACTTCCAACATACTTTATTCTGTTTTTTTCGAATACATCAATACGTATGCTATAGTTCTTAGACAAGTGTTTTGGTCGTGTGGGAAACAATAAATATCGATTGAATTTAGTACTACAGCTTTCCTTTGTTATGTATACGAATTGATCATATGCATGAATATCTTGTTGTTCATCATTATCATCGATTAACATAATAATAATCGCATAAGTAGCATGTCGATCAACTGAACTCAGATGTAATGTTAGGCTAATACGTTGATTTTGATATTGACATAAATGGCCATAGTAACTTGGTGGACACATGCACATCTGCTCAAAGCTATTGTTTGTGATCCAAGTATTAATATCAAGCCCACGATTACAATGTAATGTCCATAGGTTATCTTCACGACGATCTATATTGACATTCTCGATAGAATGTCGTTCTATTGACCAATACAAACTTTCATCGACGACACTATTTTCTAACGAAGGATAGTTAGATGATGTATGAAGAGAAAAATACTGTCTTCTTCGATTTTTCTGTTCACTCAGTCCACAAAGAACCTCTTCTATTTCACTGCGAATGTATGTTGAATCGTTGGTACAGTTGAACTGATAATTTTTGCAGAATGTTTCATCATCATGAAGTGGACAATCATTATTGTTGTTGCATAATTCTGATGGTACCAAACACGTTGTATCTCTCAAGCAGCGAAAGCGTTCAGAAACTTCGCTCGGAGGATAGATCCTTTGACATTCGTGTTGTTCGTCGGATGCCCCAAGACAATCATCCTTTCCATCATTAACACGTGTGTGAGGCAAGCAGATTACTGTAAAATTAAGAGGATCTATACAGGTGTGAGTTCCTGAATGACATTTTGTTCGGCTACAATTGTTCTCATCCCGTCCGTCGGTACATCCCCAAAAACCGTCGCAACGTGCATATATATTGTTACATAACCATTCTTCACACTCGAATTCATCATTATAATATTGTCCAAAATTATCATAGTAAATAGATTGATTGATACCATTGCAAAAACGTTGAAATGGAATATTATCGTATCGTCCGGTCATTGCACAAGCATCCTGTTTCAATATTGGGGACCAGCATGTATCTGTATTATGACATCTTACTCGGTATCGATCGCTAAGTTGGCAACTGTTTAGATACTTCTCATCATCAGCATGGAAACAATCTTCTATACCATCCATGATGCGATGTACAGAAATAAATTTCGATGAGTTACGACAGTTATATAATAACGAATGATTCATATATTTTTTTGTTTTATTGGGTGAGATCGCATGAGAAATTAAACAAGGGCGAAAAACTTGTTCGATCAACCATATCAGTTCGTTCCAAAATCCGATTTTAATATCCAGTTTTGGTATTATTTTCGACATATTTATACAAGTGAGATTTTCACGAATTAAATCCGGCTTAATAAAATCACATAGCTGTTGATTGTAGCAAAGATAATCGGGTAGAAGCAACTCATTAATTTTCTGTCTTGAATAAGGCTCTTCATAAAAAAAACGAATATGACCAGAATGAACTGGTATAGCTGGGAACTGGAAAAACGAATCACATTGTTTAAGGCACTCGTAAATTGTGTCGTTCATCAGCCATGTTTTACATGAACTTCCATGAATTTGGTCGGCGAGTCCACTGAGACAAACCATAGCAATCCAACATTCGTCTGTTAGATTACCTTTGGCTGTCATCGACTCTATCAGTAACATGTGTCGTCCATTATTGCATTCTTCAAATTTGTTGACACATAGGCCATCTCCACAGGAAAATGTACCCTCATGTGCTCTGCAAGAATGTTCTTCACAACGGAATGTTGGATCTTGGAAACATGATCTTATATAGAAGGCATTCGACACTTCATCGGAACGATCGAGGCAGTCTGCATCGCCTTCACCCTCTTCCCAGAGTTCGCTTAATATACATAATCCATTGTGGCATCGATATTCATTTTTCTCACATTCATTTATTTCCATATCGAAACAATATTCTTCATCGAGACCTTCATCAAAACAATCAACGATTCCGTTACACACTTCACGCCAATCAAGACACCAACTCTGCCCATTACGATGGCATTCTAGAAGAACATAGCATGGCATCTGTACTGTCACTTCAGATGACTCGGAAAATGCTGTCCTTTGACGAAAAGCTTCTTCAACAATTTGGTTGAAAGATCTACGGCCGCCGAAAGGAAACGAATATTGGCATCGAGGGCCAAACCACGGTTCAGAACAATTGTAGACAACTTCATCAAATGCAGCATTCGGTTCAATCAGATAGAATTGATATCGTTGAGCTACATCAATCGAAATTGACCACGAGAGAAGTTGTTCTGAAGTAGTATGAGCCAGACGTAATTGTTCGAAACTTAGTTTTTGAGAAAGCGGATTAACAGAGATTTTGGGTGATCGGTCGAAATAGTTTACTGGACGAAAACAGTACGGAATGACTTCATCAGTCATATCTAATAACTTAGAATAAGCCGGTTTCTCACGGTGAACATGATAATTCAAACAATGATATTGTAAAGAATTGCTTTCAATTGCTTCATTAGTATGGTATAAATTCAATTGACACGTAATAGTTGTCCATCGAATTAGAATTATTAGAAGAAGGTGAAAAATGATTTTACCTTTGTTTATTGAACTTGTGTCCATTATCGACCGCTTTTATTTATATATTTACTAGTCGTAAGAGTACAGACTGTATATAGTCCAGAGAAACAAAAAGTTATTTATTTTTAGTGAGAGGAAATTTTTCTCTGCTGTGATGTGAAAGTAAATGTGAATGAACAATTAATGTCTTCGATAAACTTGTCTAGTAGTAATAAAAAAAGTTAGAAAGAGAATAAAACCATGTTCAAACAGCTAATAAACGTGCTAAAACGATAATGTTAGATTCATGATAGTATATGGTTACACATCCTGTAGAAAAAATCAGCATCAATTTAGTAATACTTTCTATATTGACACTTCATGCTTTGTTGCTAATTTGTAGAATAATGATCATATAACCATAATGTAAAGTCTGTCAAACAAGCAAAACTATACTCTTTGCTGATACCAAACGATATATCGACATAGAATGTAACCTGATCTGTTGTGTTACTGTCGTTTCCACAATAAACCACTGAGAATCTCAGAATGAGTTTGGGTGAGGGTGAGACTGTGGGTGTGAATGCGGATGTGGGTTTTGGTGTGGATGTGCGTATGGGTGAGTATGGATGTGGGTGAGGATGTGGATGTGGGTGTGGGTGTTGATGTGGGTGTTTTACTCTTTTATCCACAATCATATTCGCACCCTCATCCTCAAGCCGATGGCCCAGAGTTAACGACTATGCTTTTTATTTCACATTTTAATCTCTGAAAACATTTTATTAGAAAACAAAATATACCACAAGACTCAGAGTGAAAAGCTATAGAAATCTCGTCGTAAAGCTTATTTCAATTGTGTACCTTCGTTTTCAAAAAAAGCAAAAATGCGTGCGATTAATTGTGGAGGTATGTTGTAATAGAATCTGTTTTCTAGTACAATTTTTTTAGAGATTAGAATATGAGATGCGAAGTTCGATGATTTATCCTGAGTTACCTGCTACTTTCTATAGAAGAAGAATCGTCGCGAAAGGTTTAACTTAAATAGTTATTGTGTAAAACTAGTTCGATATCAATGACTATCGATAGTATTGTTTTGTCACTTTTTACATGCTTTATCAAGTCCATATTTGTCATTTTTCTGAATTTCATACATTCAAATCTATTGTAAGAAACTTTCAATGGATTTCGCATTTGATTTTATATATTGCTTGCAATAACGAACAGAAAAATTCTGCTTTGATATGAAATTCTAAATCATACGCAATGTGAAACATCTAGAGCAGATATAAAGTGTGGTTTCGACAGCAGACCTCACTACTTTATCGGTTCTCTTTCGGTAATGTAGGTAGTTTTAATATCGAGGTTCACCGAACCAGATAAATCGAAAATATAATATTTTTATGAATTTTATATTGAATCCTACTGTAAAATGATATTTAGTTGTTCTTTCACCAAATATAGAGCACGATAACCCATGAATCTGTTGGTTTTTCGACTGATTATACTATCAAAATACAACTGAGAAGTTCAGTTCTGTTGAAATCTATCAAGATGATTCTAACTTCAGATAAGGTTCATAAACTACAATACTGTCGTTGTCTGTATAGATGTAGCAAGCGGATCGATTCATCTTTCAATGTATCTAAAGATGTTTATTCCAGTAAAATGTTTAGTTTTATTAATTCACAAAAGAAAATTCACTCAAATATATCTTAAAAATTCTTGAATAAATATCATTGATGCAGTTATGTGGTGTATACTGATCAATCGGAACAGTGACATTGTAGACGACCATTATGTAATTGACAAAACCCTGTTCTATAACCTCTAGCTCTACAGTGCTTTCTACATTGAGCTTGGTCAAAACCTGAGCCGTCGCAAAAGAAATGGCGAACCCCATCATTCAATACAGTTTCGTTTGCAAGCATCACTGAAAAATAAACAATCGTTTAACGATTAATAATTCGCTCTAATTATAATTACTTGGATTTTCATAGAGCTCATTCGTTGCTTGAACCACCAGCAACAAAACAAAGAAGAGTAAAATGGATATCACTTTTATCAAAGCCATAGTATCTATATAAATCATATAATCATATTTATCTAAAATCGCTTCAGTTACATACTCACCTAAATATTTATAAGATTGATTGATTTCAATAAAGCCAAGAAATGATTTATAAATTCTGATGGTAAAATAAGACATATATATATAGATGAGGAGATATCGTTGTATTATCACATGCGAATGGTACATTGGCTAACAGATGACTAGGAAGTAAGCGGATTATGGATTTTTCCATGCAACGCCTACGGATTCAAAACGAAACTGCATGTTATCTATTCAACATACTCATGTGATATTTCGTCGTGATGATTCATGTATGAATATTAGTGTGCACACACTTTTCCCCATTAAAAAGGGAATAAGGAAGAAAGCCTATGCAATGTGGGGAAAAGGACTGATAAGAAAACGGGAAAGCTACCACTTGTCATCATAATGATTCACGCATTCTGTTTTGGAAGAAGGAATAAATCGTTCTTTTTTTGGGCAAATAATATCTTCAAAATCATCAATTTTCAGCTTGATGTTTATTGAGAATACTTTATATTCTCTCTTAAGAGATGAATTATTAGAGTTAAATAACAAAGAGCAAATAAAAAGACCATTGAATGTTGTTATATCACTAGAACATGATCAATTGTTGTCAACATCACTAGCCAAAAGAAAATCAAAAACGAATTATGGTGTCCTGATTTCTACTCATTCAATCATCGAGTTTAATTCTATTAAAAAACTGGTAAATTAATAAGTGAAATACTCTAAAGTGCATGATGTCTTGATAAGTGATTTCATACAGCAAAATATCTCTAAAGTTATACTTTTTGATATTATTAAAAGTTTTGTTGCCAAACAAGAGTGAATACTAAATCTTTCTTTTTATGCACAGTCAAGACTGAAGTGATTATTATGTATGTAATAATGTGGTTCAACAGAACCAGTCTTTCCGTTAATGAAAAAAGAATTTTAGCTATATTCAGTACTACAGTATGAATAACAATTAATAAGACTTTATAAACACAATGATGATGGTAAGTATCGTGTTTCAAGAAAATTAAGAATGTTTGAAAACGAATTATTCGAGTTCTTGAGTAATTATGTACAACTATAACGTCTTTTTATAAAATAAAATACTGGCAACCGATCGTCTGTCATCATCATTAATAAATTCTCCATTTAAAATGTATAAGAAGTATATCGTATTCAACATTTGCTACCGCTAGCAGACGACATGCAATACATCCTAGACATGCAGCGATATCACAAAACTGTAACATCAATAACGTCATTCTCTTTCTAACAAAAGCACATGCTATTTTCTCACAAGCAATGATTCAATATTCATATCTTTCCTACTGTTTTTCAAGTTGAAAGTGATGACTAAATATGACTAAGCTGTGTGAAAAAACAGTGACGTATTTCTTATCTATTTTACGAAATAAAATCTTGTTGTGTTAAGCATAGATATGTTGGTATTTTCCTTGTTACTTTTAGTTAAACAACAAAACAAGTAATATAAAAAGATTTACTGCAGATATGTGTGATCAATAGCGATGATCATATTATTGAGCTCAGTAGCTTTGGTGAATAGATTTTAAACCTTTATGCAATAAAACTTTCCTGATCAGAAGCATCTTAAGGATGTGGGTTTGGGAAACGTACAGATTAGCATTCACTCACATCCAGGAAATTCCGACTCGGATTACTGCCTACATGAAATCTTTGGAATGACTCGAAACCGGCCGTTTACTTACCGTATTGGTTGACTTGGGGGTGTAAATAGATGAATTACGAAGAGAGACAAAGTTGAATATTGAGGATGAGCGTGCGTGGATATCGTTGTATATATTTAAATTATCTCTCACACCCATCCTCGTCCACATCTATACCCCATCTACACACACCCGTCTCTCTAATCATTATCGTTCTAAACAATCTAAATATTTTTAACTTATAATGTTATCATCATAGAATGACAATAGAAAAGGAATTTTCCTGTTTATTGTTTTTGAAAATATAATGACGTCAAATGAATACACTACATATGTAAAATATAGATGTCATACAATTTTTTAGTTCGTTGATCTGTAAGTAATAACGGTGTGAGTGTTGTTGTTAGTCTCTGGTAGTAAAGTCCACCATAATGTTAAAAACGAGAGCGTTAGTTAGCCACTGTCGGTTTTTTAACATGTATAAATTTAGAAAGATATAGGCCAAATTTTGTTTCAGTGAGTAGAACGTGTTTGAAAGTTGGTGATGGAATAATATAAATGAAAAACGTAATCATCTGTGGAATAAATGAGATATAAAAGGTAGTTAAAGTTAAATAGATGAACCAAGTACTTTCTTCGTAGTTGCATGCATCTAAAAATAATATGATGAGTTGTGGTAATGCAGATATGAAACAAATGAACGGTCCAATAAGCAGATCGGCTCGTTGACGAGCTTGTTCAGCGATTTTATAACGAGATGGTTTTTGATGACTATGTGCTTTAGAACGACCGAGATTGATAATCACCATACTTCCGGCGACGAAATTAAGAAGAAAAGGAATAAGTTGATGTGCTAGCGATGTATATTGTATTATAATTCTTTTATGCGATGGAATTTCTCTGACACAACTGATGTACGAACGATCGGGACGAATGACTATTTTATACTCAATGATAAGCATGTAAAGAGAACTAAAGAGCAATATAAGTGTCGCTATGCTAACCAGTTTAGCAAAACGAGGAGTACGAAACATTCGTGAGTGTAAAGGCCATGTAACTGCTAGAGCTCGTTCGACAGTGACAAAACTCATGAGCCACATGCTGATGTTTTTGAAAGTTGTCATTAGATAAGGTAACGATTTACATAAGATTTGATTTGTAATCAAACTCAGTGTCATTTGTTTAACAAAAATTAAATATATGACACGAGTTAATAGAAGAACAAGTACAAATTGACTAATAAAACCATTGATAAGAAGATAAAGACCCGCACCAGCTTGCCGTGCATTTTGTTTCATAAATGTACTAATTTCTAAAGTGTTGAAGATCATTCCAAAACAAAAGAAAACAATAGGTACAAGTAAATGAAGTCGGCTGCCTTGTGTTTGTTCTATCAGCATTTCAAGTTCGATAGAAAACCGACTAGTAGCAAATTGACAAAGATCACCCAATACACATTTTGGGCAAACACAAGCAAAATTACTACTATTTTGTAGATTGCCTTGAATACAATAACCTTGATTGAGACAATGACCACACTGTACATCTCGTTGTTCGTAAGTTAAACATTCGCTACGATTTGTCTTCATTTTACAATAGCAAATATAATTCTGTGAATAGAAACATGACTGATCTTCAGATTGCCAACAGAAAGTGTTGAGAAGTGTTATAGGTGATCGAATAGAAATTGACTTACATTGCGAAGGCTGAGAATTAAGATCGGCAGTAAAATTTCGTAAGCTATTACTACAATTAATATAGAGCATGCTCAAATGAACAGTCACAAAATCACGCTGACGTTCATAGGTATACAAAAGACCAGTTTCAGGTAAAGTTATATTGTATACTGAATCTCTACTATTGATTATAAAGGTAATAGGAAAAGATGTTAATTTTGGTATTAGTATTTGCTGTCGTAGTTTTGGATAGTCTTGAGAAATTTTCAATAACTGTAAGAGAAATGTCTCTTCATTAGGCTTTCGTCTGTTTAACATCAGCATAGATTTCGATGATCCATCAGATTTGGAGCTATCATGAAAATACCAATATTCATGAGGAGGTAAAATAGAAAAAGGTAAACAGATTCCGTTTGTTGAAGAGAAAATCGAAGTTTGTTTTTCACAAATAGTATTACGAACGAAACAATGAGGTGGTAAATACCCATATGGACAAACACATAGATCTTCATCTAGAGCAAGAGCATGTAATGAGCACTTGTTTTGTTTGAGAGGTTCTGTACATAGATTTCCTTTCCAACCACTTTGACAAAGACAAAAATAATTATTCTCATCATTATTAACGATCATATAACATGATCCATTATTTTGACAATGATTGTGAGGACATCGCCATGGTAAAGAACGATCAGGAAACCGAAGTATTTTAGCCAATTGAAATACAGGAAGAATTCCAATAGTATTAATTGAATATTCCCATACTGACAAGAGTTCAAGTCCATCATATGCTTGGAATTGAACTGAATAATTACCACTGAGATTTGGATAAGAATATATTAAGTAAGCTTTATGTTTTTGTGGAAACTCTTCATCGATATCAATAAATCTTTGATGATCGATAATAAAGGTTCTGTTGTGGAGTAATAAAACCAAAACATGAAGTAATGGCGGTAAATCTGAAAGATGTTTACGATCAAAACGAATACGTATAGTAACACGAAGACGATCATATTGACAACGATGTCCGTAAAAACTAGGTGGACAGAAGCAAACAGGTTCTTTTCCGTTTCCACTTAATAAGTAGAAACCACGATTGCAATATCCATAGAATTGTGGATTAGAAATACTTTTGAACGGAATACCTGTTACTAACGCTGCGGATATGTTAAAGAATTCTACATTACCACAGAATAACAGATAGTTGGAACGACGTCGAACTTTACTTATTCTATAATTACTTTCATATGGATTTGGACACCAAAATAAGTTTTCATTATTAGGACAATTAGCTTTGTAAAGACAACGACCAGGTATGCAAGTTTTATTATCATAACAAGGGAAGTAGTTTCTCGAACAATTATGTCTGGTCCAAAAGCAGATCAGTTCATCTGTTTGATCATAACAATCGGTAATACCATTGCATACAACTGTATGTGATAAGCACTTTGTTGCATTATCACATAGAAATCGATCACCTAATATATTATGATCAAGGCAAACAAAAACATTTCGTTCATCTCGTCCTCCAATACAATCAAGTTGTTCATCACCTGCTTTCCAATAATCTATGCAAGGTCGATGCAATGTTTGATTAATAAGAAAGTGTTGCGTGATACAAAAATGCTCTTTAGTATTATCACATTGAGCTTCAAGTATCCATCGAGATTTTGCTGCGGAACAATTTAGTTCATCTTCACCATTGCCACAATCAAAATCTCCATCACATAAATCATCTTTATTAATACATTGTCCAGTAGTTCGACATTGATGCATATCTTGAGGACAAACCCATTGAGAACAATTTTTTTCGTCATGTCCATCTGTTGTATCCCGTACTGAATCACAGTATCGATGAAATGGTAGTTGCATACTATTAACACGATCAATTTTATCAATATATGCACTACGAAATACCCAACAAGGATATTCTTCTCCATAATCGCATCGAAAATAATACCAATTTAACGCATTAGAAAGTTCATCACTTCCATCTGCACATTCTTCTATTCCATTACCCAATTGTTGATAACTAACATATTGTATAATGGATAAATCAGAGCACCGATAACGATATGGAAGAGTAATATTGTACTGATCATTTTGCTCATCCACACCGAATAAACAATCAATGTATCCATCATTGATTCGTCGTATAGCCATTGGATAAACAAATTCGTCACAGATGAATGATTGTGAATTTATTATTAATGGTTGAGAGTATTCTCTAGAACGAAATAGTTTTTAGTTTTATGTCTAAAACAGTATGAATAATGGCGACTAACCGTGATAAATTATTCTGTAGTTGACTTTTTACCATTTGACAAAATAAATATGAAAATGGAAAAAATGGCAGATCTGCAAATGATAGATAGTTTTCAAAACTCCAGCAAGTGCCATTGGTTGATGTTATCAGAGTGCCGTTGCATATGAATGTTCCATTAAGACAGATGAGACCAGGAGTTCGTTTAAGTAATGGAAGTCCAAGTTTTGTCCAGCATAAAATGAGACAATACGTGATTTATTGTAAAACATTTTAAGAACAGGTGATAACACAGGTTGTTCCGGATATTGAATAAAATCATGACAGTAAATAATAATATGGTTCCATGATACTTTGCGTTGAGATCCAACCAACAAGTGACGAAGACATAATGAACATGATGTCGAATTTTGCAATGGAGGTAGACCACCTAGAAAATATTTTAATTTAGTATTTATAGAACAAATTATGAGTGAGAATATGAAGATCTACACTCATTTCTTCGCTGAGCGAAAGACACTGACCGTTTCCTTTTTGTCGACAAATGCCATTGGCCATGGTTGGAAATCCTTGTAATTCACACTGACAAGCTAAATCTCGAGTATTCTTGCAACTGTTTTGACGATGAATTAAATTTGATCATCTCCACAACTAAATTCATCTTTTCGACATAAACGCTCTTCACATTCCCAAACTGATGTCGATGGGCATGATTCAAAAAATTTGTGTATTCTATCTACTTCTTGCTCATCACTTGAATCCATACAATCAATCGTACCATCAAATAGAAACTCATTTGGTATACACATTGAATTACGACATTGAAATTCATCCGATGAACAATTTTGTAGTTCAAATTCATAACATCCGACTTCATCAGCTCCGTTCTCACATTGTACTATGCCATCACAAACTTGTCGCCATTCCAAGCATAATAAACCTGTGTTACACGTGATCATATCAACTAAGCATGTATGAAGTGCTACTTCACGAGCAGCAAGATCACGTAACTGATCTTTCGATAGCACAGCGATAGTTGACAGATTAATAGGAAGAAGATATTGACATGTTGCACCGATTCGATCATGAGTACAATTACAAATAAAACTGTTGGCTGAGTTGTTAGCTAAATAATCTGCATAACGCTCAATAGTTTCAAATGGAATACGCCACTTCAACAAATCATCTGTAGTAGTATTACTATCTTTTAATGCTGAGAAATACCATGTAGTGCCTTGGGTGCACGATGATACATTATTCGAAAGTAAATCATGATCTCGACAAAATAAACGTTGATCATACAATAAACAAT